CGTATTTTTCCTCCTTTTCTTTTCTAAAGGAATAAAAAACTTAAAAAACATGGCAAGACATCGGCCAAATGACAATAAAAGAAGAAACATGTTCTTCAATTGTGATCTGGACTGTGTGGGTCCTCAAAGTTCGTTTGTTCTGATTTTACAGTCTCCGAGCTTTGTCTCAGTTTCGTTTCTCTTTACCCGATATCAACATTATAAGACATTCTTGTTCTTCAACTTCATCTTTTTTTTTAGTTTTTTAATTTATATTTTTCGTGATAATTTTCCTGCAAACGTTCCTAAATTTAACATTCATCAGACTTTGTATTTTCTTGATTATATATACTAAGCGTACCTAAATTCGTTCCAACATATTTGTAGTTAAACTTGTATGATAATTTTGCGAAAATATTATAGACACTTCTAGGTAATTGAAATCAAATTGTTATTTAAAATATTATGTGCGAATATAGTTGGATAAACTCTCTGTAAAACGGCTATAAAACAATCATGTACAGGTTGTCATTTATTCAGCTGCCAAAAATGTCATGAATATCTTATGTTTATCAGAAAAATAGTGCAAAACAGGTCTGAATTTAATAAATATTCTATAACATTTCGCACCGTCACAGTTTATGTCCAACTCGTGCAACTACGGCTTTCGAAAATGAAACTTGCTATTTCAACTGCTGTCCTCCTTCTAGCGATTTCTTCGTTTGCATTTGCGCAAAGTGACCTTGAACGCGCAAAACAAGAGTTCACAACGCTACGAGATGAGTTAACGGTTAACAGGTTTAGCGACATTCTGTTCCTGCTCGATACCTCTGGTAGTTTGACCCCCTCTGACTTTGACACTGAAAAGGAATTCGTCATAAACTTTTTGAACACTTTACCTGTCGGCATGCAAGCAGCCAGAGTAGAGGTCATACCTTTTGGTGATACAGCCAGCCTATATATAGACGGAGTCTCCAATCCCTCTTTGTCCATGAACAAGTGTGATATCTTTCAAAAGCTAAAACAGATGCCTCTCAGCATCAATGGCTTCTCAACGAATACGAAGAGTGCCTTTCAGCTCGCTTACGATATCTGTCTTGGAAAATATAGCGCCAATAAAAGAGCCCCATTTAATAAAGTGAGGACGGTGGTTATTCTCATCACAGACGGATATTGGAATTGGCCGTATAACGATCCCAGCCCCATTCCCATCGCCCAGAGTCTGCTTGCAGCAAATGTAGAAGTCTTTGCAATTGGTGTCGGAAACATAAATCTGCCAGCGCTTCAAAAGTTGGTTAAAGATTCAGCAAAACAAGCATTTCATTTGCAAGACTTTGCGGACTTAAATAAACTGTCCCTCTACGTTAGAGGAGGTAAGTGAACAAAGTGTTTTAATCATATTCAGACTGGGTGTCTTTTGAGGTCCCCCAAAAGTTTCAAATTGAATAACTTCAAAAGCTATGACTTTTCCCAAATGTTATCAGGTAAAATTTAGTATAGTAGTCGTTACGTGTCCTTCAACATTGACGTTACCATGGCAACCGAGTTTTGACAACCATATTCATCCTTTATTTATGTCTGTGTGATTTTGCTAAAAGGTACTCGCTAAGTTTAGCTGACTTGTTTTGTGTGAAAACCAGGGAGATAGGGAGGACAGATCATTTGTAACTTTGATTAGAGTTTCATGTCAGAAAGCAGTGCAAAGTCAGAGAGTTTTTCCTGAGGGTTAGCCCAGCCAAATCAATGCCGTGACTCATAATCATACCAAAACTACTAGCAGAGCTTGGGGGAAGTGATTGACTAGTCATAAGTTTCATGGCTGGGGAGGGTGAGTAGTTGCTCCTTGGGCGTGGCTGTCTAGAGACTCAGTACAGGCACCTTGTATGAAATCCACACAGATGTAAAAACGTCTTATTTCAATTATATCTTTCATTTAATGTAGTGTTATGTAAACTGCCAACACTCGACTGTGTTAAATATTACTTGTGGCGTTCCTTAGGAGTCAGGGCTAGTCCCTACATTGTTAACCATGAACAAGAATATTACCAGGGTACCATTTACACAATCCATCTAGGTTGAAATCTTGTGCATGTACATAAAACTATAAAGTTTGACGCGAAAGAGAGAACGACCCTCTACAAGGTATCTCCAAATCAGCTAAAAAGGCCAAAAAAGTGGAAAATTTGCATCTCCTCAAATCACAGCTCTTATTTTCTAAAGCTTGTCCGGTTTTCCCCACGTAAATGATATAAAGTACCATTAGTCTCCTACGCAGCCGTTTTTTGTGTAGCGTTGCGTGACGACACTGCGTAGGAGACTAGTTAGATAAGAAATATTTTGGTTTTATTTTTTCTAGACCCACTCGAAGATTACGTGAAGTGCTACTGGTGCATAGAAGGACAATGCTAGAGTAAGTCTACATCAAAAAGTATTTTTGTAGGAAATACAGGGTAATAGGCGGGATTATAAAAATGGCATCCCTGTGGCAACATCTTTACCCCGGGATATAAGAGCAAGCACCCAATCTCTCCTCACCAGGGACCAATTAAAGAAAAATTTTACGAGTGTAATTTACAAGTGTGGCTATTGTTTGAGTCTTAAAACAATAGCTGTGCTCGTAAATTTACCCTGTGAACAGTCGGGACCAAGACCCTCCCCCATATTTGCAATTCTATTCATTGAAATAGAGCAAAATTAATTTGCTCAATCCCAGTGGCCTAAATCCCATATTCCGCATATAAACAGGCATGACCAGTCCGCGTTCCTATTTTACCCCTTCAGAACCCTCACACTTTTTTCTTTGTTTTTTTTGTTATTCTATAATTGCGGTTGCCTGCGAATTTTTTTAAGACCTTTCGTAGCCAACGAAATGAAATACCAATTAGACCCATCTGTGTCGGTATAAGATATGCACCATAAACCAATTCTTATTCGTATTATACTAAAGCCTGAATAACCATTATCTTTTCTTGCAATGACTCATAAAAATACGAGTGGCCTGATTCCGCAGTCGGTTACTCGCTCCTAGAAGAGGGTTCTGACCGCACTACTTCGGGCTGTCTGAGAATTTCGATGTTTATTACTAGTCAATATTTGACGATTTCCTGACTCAATTCCTTTTTTCTTCACTATTTCTACAGGGAAATAATGCAAGAAGTAAACGAAATGCCAGACGACGTAAAGTAAAGTTTAAAACGAAAGAAAACAAAGTTTTTGTTAGTAGAGATGTCTAAAAATGATAAAGCAAATATGGGCAATACATGCTACAATTAACCTTAAATTTATACCCACAAAACAAGCGTTATCATTTCAGTCACTCTAACTTACTCGTACCTTCTGAACCATGGCCACTGACATGCTTTAGTAGCATGTTCCAGGCGTAATATACTTTAGTGACAAGGCTAGTTCGCTCGATTATAGAACCGTTTTCGTCTTGTGCAGGGCAACCATACCAATATAAGGCACGGCACAGGTTACATGCCAAGCAAATTGGAGCATTTTTTTGTTAGGGCTGTAAGCCACCCATCTTTCCTTCTTAAAAAGAGTCAGTGTATTTTCTAGCAAAGTTTTCAACAAAACTGACACACACTTCTTTCAGATATGATAGGCATGATTTAGTGTTAAAATCCAAAAATGGCCCCCTTTTTCGATGATCATCGCATTTGCTGAATTTTTTTCTATTCGCAGAAAATTTAGTCAGTAATTTCAGTGGTAAAACGGCTATGCTGCCGCTTTTTCTGTAGAGGTTAACGCTTAAGATCGTCGATTGCAGCGATTATAAGTAATTTATCAGCCTACAATTCTTTACCCCTAGCCCCCGCCCAAATTCCAAAGAAAAATCCATCAGAATTAAGAACGTCCCAATGAGTTATTTTTTTATCTCAGGTAGTTTTTGTTTTCTTTTAATTTTGGGTATGGTAATGTATGCTAATGAAGTGGAAACAAAAATTACTTGAGATAAAAAATTAACTACAACATCCATATAAACGGAAAATGTAGTATTACAAGGCTTTAGGCTGAATAATTATTTTTCGTTACAAATCACTCCACAGGGAACCCAGGCAAGAAATGAAAGAAAACCTGCAAAGTTCGACTCTTCAGAATAAGGACTTCGGCGAAAAGAAATTTCAGTGCTCGGTTGATTAAAGTAAAAGAATAAGACATAAAGTAGTAACAAGAGTCAAATATACTTAAACAAGAAATGTCATAATTTGGGCGATGCTTAATAAATTTTGCATCATGTATCGAGAGCGACTGGTGTTTTGCTTTAATTGCAAGGTCTTCTTTTAAATTGTTCAGTCAACTGATTCCCTCTTCAGTTTCTAATCCCACAGAAGACTATACTGCAATGGTATTGAGGTCTCGCTACATAGGTGCCAATTTCTAACCATACCGTACATCAGAGGCACCTCTGAAACTATCGCACGTATACTATAACCTTACATCATACGCGTTGCACACAAAGCGATGACCACTTTAAGACGACTGCTTAGTAATGTCAAGGACAAAGACGGACCCAAGGACAGACAGGGAGCAGTAAACAAGATCAAATGCTGCGACTGCCAGGTCCATACATTGGTGAGACCGGCAGAAATCGTAGCACGCGACTGACTGAACACAAACGAGCGACAAGAAATGATGTCAACAATCACATTGCTGAACACCATTTTAATACGTAGACGAAACATCAAATCGGCTGGGACTCTGCGACATGTATTTCGTATTCTACAGACAACTACTGATCAACGACTTACTTTAGAAAATTGGTACAACGCCTCTGAATCGTATAGTCAAAAGTTACCGGCACCGTACAAATGACTTATAATATTGACGGACTCAAGCAAATCTTACTACGAGAGAATGACTGGACAACCGACAATTTGACTAAACAATAAAGAGCTGTTTAACTGTGATCACAGACTTGTGGGTTGTATCCCTCCCACAATTAGCCTGTTCTAGGATCTCGGTCAGTGTGGACGAGCGAAAAAAGCAGGCGAGCGGAGAAAAAGTGAGTGAGCGAAAAACAGTCCTCTCGCTACTTATTGCTCATTTCGCCACCATCCGGGAACCTAGAACAGGCTATCCCACAATGCACTGTAGGTCCCAGCATTCTTGGAAATTGTTGCGTCCCTTTGCTGAAACTGCAAGTGCTTGTAATCGTTGGTCGCAATTTTCATACAACAGAGGCCGTGTTAGATCACATGACCTGGCAATTTGAGTATCTTTTTCCTAGGTTTTCTATTTTGGTTTATTTTACCATTCACGATGTAAACTGACTAAACTGTGATTTTTGGAAAAGGTGCCGAAGAATCACGATTGATTTACAAACCAGGCCTTTAAAAATCTAATTGAAGGATTAAAGTTTGTTTGATTTATAATCAAGATCGGATGCTGGTATTTATTCCCAAATTTTATTTATTCCCAACAACTGGTATTTATTCCCAACTCCTTTACGTGTGTCCATACCTCAGACCTGCCAACCCCTGATAAAGGAAAATCTGGAGACCCATGAAAAAAAATCTGGAGATTCTATAAAAAATAGTGAGATTCTATTTTTTTTCCCGATCAAGATTAAACAAACCCCTTTTCCATCGAGGAAAGTCATTAACAGTTTATTTAAATGTTTTATTTTTGTTCCCTGGGAGACGCCTGGGAATTAGACCTCGTTCCCAGGGCCTACTCCCCTTTCAAAATGGCGGACAGACACGAAGAAAAACGATGAAGGTTATTGAACACAAACGAAAATCACAGCTGTGTACAAAAAAGTAAGAACAGTGTTCTTCTTTATTAGTTTTTCACTTTATAGCACAAGCATTCCTCGCTAATTTCCCATTTTTATTCTGATTCAACAACTTAAATCATTTCAGAATGATTTTTCCCAAAACCCGTGAGATTTAGGAGCCTTGTCGTGAGACCGTGAGAAATGACAAAAAATCGTGAGACTCACGGCAGAACCGTGAGAGTTGGCAGGTCTGATACCTCGATACATGCACGCTAAGCATAAACAAACATCTTTTAGTCGTAGAGTAAAAATTAAGAACTTCACTGATCTACAATACGCCATTTACACAATGACGTTATTTCGCGGCTATTACCATTCAGACTCGTACCCAGTCGCTATTTAAGTGTTTTTTGGGATGAGAGAAGATTGGGGATTAGGTTGAGGCGCGCGCGGGGTTTCATGCGAAGGGACCTTCCCATGAGACCCCGCGCTCGCCTCACGCCTCAACCTAATCCCCAATCTTCTCTCATCCCAAAAAACCCTTAAATAGTGACTGGGTACGAGTCTGATTACCATTACCTCGACCAGAATCGCGCTTCAAGTGTTTTGTTTTCTTGAGCAAGTTAAGGCATTTGTTAGTTAGTGATCGCTGGGATGACCAAATTCAATTAAGGTGGCTCGATACAGTTTTTCAGGGTCAATACCTGCCAAGTTTGAGCATAAACTACGTCGCCAAAAATCACGTTTTGGAAAAATTGCCACCACAGTTGTATTGGATAAAGAAGAAAATTTGTTCTGATCAGGGTTGCAACGGCATCGGAGTTGTCATAGCAACGAAATGACGCTATTACCTATTTTACTTGCAGCAGTATATCTCGGCACTGGGAACTGTTCTTCGAAAATCATTCACGGGAGCTTTTTCCTCCAATAACAGCCTCGATATTCGTGAAGTTTAAGCGAAATCTGTAAGAGCGTTATCGAGATATTTTGGGATAAAGTTTTTATTGTTCAAAACACAGTAAAAAATGGAAAATATTGTTGTTTGGCCGTTATCTGTAGAAAATGAAGCGCTTTCGACATGAAATTTCACCTCATAGTAGTTTCAATCTTTTTAAAAGCGTGTGTGAAAGATCATGGGAGATAGCTCCAGCCGATTGCTAGAAAGAAGCGTTTGATTAGTATGGATCGAGGCGCTCTTGTTAGCGCTTTTGTAAACATTTTGGTCTACTTTAACAAATTAGCAAATAATTTTTAGACCGCTCGATAGATTGTTTTAAAAATGTAAGATTCTTGAGATTAACCTTCCTTTTATATGACCTTTTAGTTTCAAGATTATTGATATATTGTAAGGCAGTAAAATAAGGGCTACAATTCGTTACTTTTTTATCGGAAGTTTCGTCATTACAAGTGAAAGCCTCTAATTATTCAAGGCATTGTCTCCAAGTTTCATTTTCACGTGAACAGCAGTAACTAACAATGCATTTGAAATATGCAAAAATGCCAGCTATTGTTGTGCGCGAAAATATGAAACTTGGACACAATACCCTGAATAATGAGAGGCTCACACTTGTAAACGCAAACTTTCTGCCAAAATATTAGCGAATTGTAGCCCTTATTTTACTGCCTTACAATATATCAATAATCTTTAAACTAAAACGGTTATATAAAACGAAGGTTAATCTCAAGAATCTTATTTTTTTTAAAAAATCTAGCGAGTGGTTTAAAAATTATTTGCTAATTTGTTAAAGTAGACCAAAATGTTCAAAAAGCGCTAACAAGAGCGCCGCGATACGTACTAATCAAACCCTTCTTTCTAGCAATCGGCTGGAACTATCTCCTTGATCTTTCACACACGTTTTTAAAAGGATTGAAACTACTATGAGGTGAAATTGCATGTCAAAAGCGCTTCGTTTTCTACAGATAACAGCCGAACACCAAGATTGTCCATTTTTTACCGTATTTCTAACCACAAAATCTTTATCCCAAAATATTTCGATAACGCTCTTACAGATTTCGCTTAAACTTCACAAACATCGAGGCTGCTATTGGAGGAAAAAGCTCCCGTGAATGATTTTCGAAGAACAGTTCCCAGTGCCGAGATATACTGCTGCAAGTAAAATAGGTAATAGCGTCATTTCGTTGCTATGACAACTCCGATGCCGTTGCAACCCTGATAAAAACAAGTTTTCATCTTCATCTAACACAACTGTGGTGGCAATTTTTCCAAAACGTGATTTTTGGCGACGTAGTTTATGCTCAAACTTGGCAGGTATTGACCCTGAAAAACTGTATCGAGCCACCTTAAATGTCAAAGAAAAAATGAAATGGATTCTGGTCGTAGTAGTAAAATGACGCTATCGCGCAAATGGCGTGTTATCACCATTCACGTGTGAATATAACGGCTGTTTACATAATTTTCGAGGTAATTATTTATGCACCTGATCAACTCGGCAAAGTTCAGATCAAATTCGGATAATGTGTTTTTAGTGGTAAGTTCTTTTGAACTATCGGAGGCGGCGTGCATGAAAATAGAATACGTAAGTGTCGTTGTCTGGTAACAATTAAATTTGGGCGAAGTACTTCCTGAGAAAGGTACGAGTAAAGATTCGATGAAGATCAGTAAATAATACCCTAAAACCGTGTACACATAGTTGTATGATCTCTCGATAATGAAGCCTTAAATTAATCAACTTTATCATTTCTTGTTTTCAGTCTTCATTGATATGTGTCTTATCATTTATTCAGCTGGCAAAAATTTGATAAATTTTCGATCATTTTATGGATAACGACCGAAACATCTCTGAGAACATCATATACACCTGATATTTCTTACCGCCACAGTCTCTGCTCATCCGCGTGTAATGAGCATATTGTTTCGCAAAAATGAAAGGTTATTTTCCTATTGCAGTCTTTCTTCTGGCGATGTTTCCTTTTACTTTCGCACAGGGTGACCTTAAAAGCGCAAAAGCAGAATTCACGAGGCTACAAAATGAGCTAACAGGCGCCAACATGAAGAGCGACATTCTGTTCCTGCTCGACAGTTCAGGAAGCTTGGGTGCGAAGTTTTTCAATGCCGAAAAGGAATTTGTGAGGTACTTTTTGTACCCTATAACTGTGAGCTATCGGGCTGCCAGAGTAGAGGTGATACCTTTTGGCACATTCGCAAGCCGATACATAGACGGAGTATCCAATCCCTCTTTTAACCAACACAAGTGCAATCTGGAGGATAGGTTCCGACCTCTCAATAATCATCTCCATGGTTACATGAGGAACACGAAGGCTGCCTTTCAACTGGCCTACGAAGTGTGCTTTGGATCTTTCAGACCTTATAAAAGATCTCAAGTGAAAACGGTCGTTATTCTCATCACGGACGGAATTGGAGACAGAAATTGGAATTGGCCGTTGCAAGACCCTAGCCCTGTTCCTATTGCCAAGAGACTGTATGAAAACCATGTAGAGGTGATTGCAATTGGCATTGGACTCGGAGTTCAAAAGCACAATCTTTTGCAGTTGGTTCAAGATTCACACAAACAAGCATTTTATTTGCAAAACTTTGATCAGTTAAGGGAGCTGTCGCGCCATATCAGAGGAGGTACGTTTTGTAATATTTAATTTGAATAGTTATGAAATCACCAAAGAAAGAGAGCTACAATAAAGTATGTAGAGAAGAAATGTTATTCTAGGCTTCAGAGATAGTTCATCGCTTTATTGCGACAAGATTGTTTCGTATGGTCAAAAATGACCACACTCCTCAGGCAATTACAGCGAATGAATTTCAGTTTGTTTGTATACTATGCCTGTATGACAAAATAATTGTCCGTGGGAGTTTACTGATTTAAATCATCCCCAGTGATTGTCAGCTTTTAATTGCCTATGAGTGCAGTACGGGAGTGTCGGTTAACTATAAAGTTTCGTTTTATTTCCTCTAGAACCGTTTGGTACACAATTGCAGCCTGTAGAGCCCAGCAAGTGTAATAATTTGTGCGACCCAATAGCACAGTGTGCCTGTCATTTAGTGTACGCACACTACTGGTGCTTGTGTCCAGAGGGATTCGAAGGTTCAGGAAGAGTGGGACAATGCCACAGTAAGTTTACAACCATCAGTATCTCTTTAGGAAATACAAGGGCGAGCCTGAGAGGGGTGGGGTGGGGCTGGAATTGTTTAATTAGGAGGGACCCTTTAATTTGAGACTTTGGAGTCAGTAGGCCTCCCAGTTTCTCTCTCCTCGGCTCCTAAAAGTATGGAAAAACTTGTTGGAGATCAGCCTGATAATACCACTTTCACGTTTTCCTTTTACGTGCTATTTTTTGGGGGTTGAAGGGAGATTACAAACGGCTTAATACGCCACAGCCGCTAAGCTTTTGGGTAGAGCCTTGCCGCTCACAAGGGTCCCCTACTTGCCTCGAATGGACCCTGGAGGACCCCTGGGGATCACAGAAACCCTGAGATCTCCAACAATATTACACAACTCGCTGCTAATTCATTATTTGTTGTAAATAATTCCACAGGGCTTCCAGACAAGAAAAAAAAGTGAAACTGGATGCTTGATGTTTTAGGATAGTACCTACAACAAAAACGGCAAATGCTTACTAGCTGATTAAAAGTTATAAAACGAGTAATGCAAATCACAATAAAGCTTTTAAAAATACACAGGATGTTATTTGAAATTAACACTATACGTAGATCTTTGTAAGACGATCATGGTGTTGCTCCGGTGGTAATAAAGCTACAATGTAAACTCAAATATACCTAACGAGGCAGGTTACTATTTGTGCAATGTAAAAAAATGTTCATAACGGTGAGGCGAATTCTCAACAACTGAACTTTGTTTCCGAAGTCCGTTCCTATCTATTTGTGATTCTTTTAACTCCTAGCATGCTCGACGCGCGCATCTGTCTTTGTGAAACGTCGCGTTGTAAAGCCGGAGATCTCATTGTAGGGTTAGTCATTCAGAGTTAATGAATCCAAAATTCCCACCACAACCTCGCGTAGGTTTTCACTGCATGGTAAAGTTCAAAAATCCTGACTGCCTTGAATAAATTCGTCCATTCGGTNTGTCATTTAGTGTACGCACACTACTGGTGCTTGTGTCCAGAGGGATTCGAAGGTTCAGGAAGAGTGGGACAATGCCACAGTAAGTTTACAACCATCAGTATCTCTTTAGGAAATACAAGGGCGAGCCTGAGAGGGGTGGGGTGGGGCTGGAATTGTTTAATTAGGAGGGACCCTTTAATTTGAGACTTTGGAGTCAGTAGGCCTCCCAGTTTCTCTCTCCTCGGCTCCTAAAAGTATGGAAAAACTTGTTGGAGATCAGCCTGATAATACCACTTTCACGTTTTCCTTTTACGTGCTATTTTTTGGGGGTTGAAGGGAGATTACAAACGGCTTAATACGCCACAGCCGCTAAGCTTTTGGGTAGAGCCTTGCCGCTCACAAGGGTCCCCTACTTGCCTCGAATGGACCCTGGAGGACCCCTGGGGATCACAGAAACCCTGAGATCTCCAACAATATTACACAACTCGCTGCTAATTCATTATTTGTTGTAAATAATTCCACAGGGCTTCCAGACAAGAAAAAAAAGTGAAACTGGATGCTTGATGTTTTAGGATAGTACCTACAACAAAAACGGCAAATGCTTACTAGCTGATTAAAAGTTATAAAACGAGTAATGCAAATCACAATAAAGCTTTTAAAAATACACAGGATGTTATTTGAAATTAACACTATACGTAGATCTTTGTAAGACGATCATGGTGTTGCTCCGGTGGTAATAAAGCTACAATGTAAACTCAAATATACCTAACGAGGCAGGTTACTATTTGTGCAATGTAAAAAAATGTTCATAACGGTGAGGCGAATTCTCAACAACTGAACTTTGTTTCCGAAGTCCGTTCCTATCTATTTGTGATTCTTTTAACTCCTAGCATGCTCGACGCGCGCATCTGTCTTTGTGAAACGTCGCGTTGTAAAGCCGGAGATCTCATTGTAGGGTTAGTCATTCAGAGTTAATGAATCCAAAATTCCCACCACAACCTCGCGTAGGTTTTCACTGCATGGTAAAGTTCAAAAATCCTGACTGCCTTGAATAAATTCGTCCATTCGGTGTAAATATTCCCCGCCCTTGGATTGCACTGCCATCAATGCCAGTAAAAGTGCGTGTTAATCCCCCAAATCAAATGTTTGCAGAGAAATTTCGTTTAACACCCCTCATCGATTTTCATTAGGGGTGTAACGATTCATATTCCTTGCGATTCAATTCGATTTCGATTATTGTCTTTCGATTTCGATTATTTCGATTCCATTATGTAAATGTTTCTTAATTTTTATAACATAACGTGTAATTAACAACACGCAACCCTAAACCCTCAATTTGAGAATAGTAACAGGGACAGGAGGATTCACAGTCGCTTGGTTTGTCGCCATGTTTGAGAACCTGACAAAGATGGTTTGCCTTAATTGGAAATTCTCAAGAGGTGGTTGAAGGACAGCATTTTTACCAGGCAACACAAAATGGCGCACGAACTGCTATCGTCTTTGCTCGTCAATCAAAAACGCACATTTTAAAGAGTTCTGGATTCTGATTTTACAATATAATAACTCGCTGAAAAATCGAAAAATCGAAAATGTGGAAGCAAAGAATCGTGAATCGAACCGAACGGTCATAATCGCGATTAATCGAGAATTCGATTAATCGTTACACCACTAATTTTAATACTGACAATGTTGTCTGCCGGGCGCCCTGTTAGTTGGGTGCCAGATAGAGGATGACCGGTTAACATAAGGGTAGTTTCGAAACGCTCCAAAGTGTAATGTGACCAGACAATCGGATCATTCTGGGGTAAATTTAATAAAACTCTTACACGTGTAATTTCGAGTGCAGCTATTGTTCTCAGACTCTAAAACAATGGCTACACTTGTAAATTACAAGTGTAAAAGTTTTATTAAATTGATCCCTGATTACGCGAACGCTTCTCAGTTACCCATTCTCATTACAACCGATGCACATAATTATCGGCTTTACTTCAGAACAAATCATGTGAACATCCTTGGGCCTATTCATGCCAGTCTGGGTCACGACAGTCCACACTGTAACAGATTGATTTCTCTACCGGCACAAAAATAGTTTCAGCCTAGCGTGAACATACCCTCAAACCGTGGCTACCTTCGCCTATGTGATGAATGAAACTCCCTTGTTCTGTGGATCCATAACAGACCGCACTACTTGGCACAGGGAAGCCAATCGTCCAATTATTAACTTTCCTCCTTCCATGGTTGCATCTGGTGCCGGCGAATTGACGAATGCTCAGACAGCCTACATCTGGTAAAGGAATGGTTATTACCGGTTCAACAGCGACTGTTTTTTTTGGGGGGGGAACCTGCGACTTTTTGGGGGGGAGGGATTGAACCTCTGTTGCTGAGCGAGAGGTTTGCCCTGCTTGTGTCTGATCCTCTTTTTCTGCTTTTTTCTCTCTTTTTGCATGGAAAAGGATCATTACTTCCTTCAAGAACATGTCGTTTAATGACCTTTCTAGCAGAATTTTATTCGGACTTTGTCCAGTTTTAACGGAATTTTCACTTCAATATTTACTTTGTTGTTGTTCTAGGTTGAAATACAAATTCTTCGAGTTCATCGTCGCTTTCGGAATCTTGCGGGTTCCCCTTTTTGACAACATCCAATTCATTTAATTCTGTTGACGCATGTCCGTGGTTGACATCAACAGCTTTTTGAC